ATTTATAAGTGTATGATGAGAAAATTTATTTAAAAAGTGAAAAAAAAAATTGAATGAGGATTTTTGTCATCTTTAAATTTGGACATGTGAATTAAAAACAATATCTTATTTTTAATCATGTCAAAAAGAACACACAAAATCAAAACATATAAATTAGCTCAAAATATATAAATTAACGTCACAGAATCAAGAGACGGTAAATTGGTATTTCAAAATTTTGAATCTTTTTAAGTGTAAAAGTTGTTTTGCAAATAAGAATTGAAAAGGAAAGAAAAAAAACACAAATTTTCAAGTATTCAACATTGTTAGCAGATTATCTAATATCCGCAAATAGTGTTTAACACTTTTTGCAAAAAAAATTCAAACTCTATTAAGTCCCACCGTTCTAGAGTTTGTTTATTATTTCATCAAACACACTTGTACAAACTAGACAATCAACCAGATCAAATAAAATTCAAAATAGTTAAATCAAATGCACAAACAAATATTTAAAATCAATTAATAAACTAAGATAATAATGCATTAAAAGAGAAAGAAATTGTGAATGAGAATTTTTGTCATCTTTAAATTTGATCATGTGGATTAAAAATAATATATTATTCCTAATCTTGTCCCAAAAAAGTACACAAATTTAAAGCATATAAATTAACGTCAGCTTAGCTAATATTCATTTTAATAAATATTAAAAATATATTATATTAGTGTCACTATAATAGATGTGAATTTAAATAAATAATAAAATAAATGAAGTTAATGTGAGTTTAATCGATAACAGTAAAATAAATATAATACTAAAAATAAATAAAATTAGCGTGAAATATGTCAATATTAACCTTAATTATTTTTAATATTTAGAGACCAATAATAATAATTTGACTTGAGAAAACAACAATCAAAAGTATCAAAGTAGGAAATGAAAATAATTCTTTCAAACTTCAAAAAATTCACGAGAAACAATAATAACAATAAGGCTTAATTACCTACTTAGTCCCCATGTTCGGAGGTAATTTGCTGTTTAGTACCCGGTTTTAAAAATGTAGGCATTTGATACCTATGTTTTGAAATTTGTATCAATTGAATCCTACCCACTTAACGCCGTTATAAATCTAACGTTTTTTCTGACTGTGTATGTGATTTGTGGACGAGCGGTTATGGACGAGCGTTCGCTTCGTTGGACGAGCGTCCTCTTCTGCCTTCGCTTCGTTGGACGAGCGTCCTCTTCTGCCTGACTCGGCGTTCGCTTCGCTGGACGAGCGTCCTCTTCTGCCTGACTGGGCGTTCGCTTCGCTGGACAAGCGTCCTCTTCTGCCTCGCTGGACGAGCGTCCTCTTCGCTGGACGATCGTCCTCGTCGCTCGTCCACAAACGCTCGTCCACAAATCACATACACAGTCAGAAAAACGTTAGATTTATAACGGCGTTAAGTGGGTAGGATTCAATTGATACAAATTTCCAAACATAGGTATCAAATGCCTACATTTTTAAAACCGGGTACTAAACAGCAAATTACCTCCGAACATGGGGACTAAGTAGGTAATTAAGCCTAACAATAAATAGGAGTAATAATAAGAAGACATTAATATTTTTATTATGATAAATTATCCCGAACACATGTGTACAAGCGAGACAATTAAACTCTACTGAGATCAAATATAGATACAAAATAATTAAATCAAATGTATAAACAAGTATTTATAACCAATCAATAAACTAGAGATAATGTTTTCAAAGAAAAGGAAATTGTGAATGAGGACTTTTGTCATCTTTAAATTTGGTTATGTGGATTAAAAATAATATACTCTTCCTAATTCTTATATCAAAAGACACAAATTTAAAATATATAAATTAGCGTCAACTTAACTTACAATTATTTTAATAAATATTTAAAATATATTATACTAGTGTCAGTCTAATAGATCTTAATTTAAATAAATAATAAAAGAAATGAAATTAATGTGAGTTTTACCGACAACACTATAATGCTAAAAAAAGTTAGCATCAATTAGGTTAAGACTATCCTTATTTATTTTTAATATTTAGAGACTCAATTAGGTTAAGACTATCCTTATTTATTTTTATTATTTAGAGACTCGTGTGTAATAGCTTGATGAGAGAAACAACAATAAAAAATATCAAATATTTTTAATATTTAGAGACTCGTGTAATAGTTTGATGAGAGAAATAACAATCAAAAATATCAAAGTATGAAGTGAATTTATTTTTTTTCAAACTTACCAAAAATTTATAAGAAACGACAACAATAAATAATAGCAATAATTACAAAAAGAAGACAATCAAAGACATTAACATTTTTAACGAGAAAAAGATTATACCAAACATATGTGTACAAATTGGACAACCAAACTCTATTGAGATCAAATACAGATACAAAATAGTTAAATTAAATGCGTAAACAAGAATTTACATCCAATTAATAAACTAATTAAGGCTATAATGTTTTTAAAAAAAAATTATGAATGGAAACTTTTTTCATCTTTAAATTTGGACACGTGAATTAAAAATAATTTACCATTCCTACTTGTTGTCCCAAAAAACACGAAAATTTAAAGCATATAAATTAGTGTTAAATAAATATTAAAAATATATTATTTCATTATTAATCTTATGGATGTTAATTTATATAAATAATAATAAGATAAATAAAATTAATGTATGTTTAACCGACAACACTAAAATAAATATAATACTAAAAATAAATAAAATTAGCATTAATTAGGTTAGTGCTAGTGTTGTAAAATGAGTCACCTGGCTTAACATGACTCGATTCACCACGAGTTTACTACTTAGTGAGCCAACTCAACCTGATCCACTTATTAGCGAACCAAAAATATTTGAACTTAACAGGTCCACCACAGGTTGGTAAGTTAAATGGGTTAGCTCTGACTCACTTAATTACACAATTTTTTTCAATTAAAAAAATAACAAAAACTTTCTAGTTCAAATGTAAATAAAGGAGAATGGTCTTAAATTATATTTATGATTAGTCCAAATATAAGATTTCATTCACACAAAAATATCACAAAATGTTCTTAAAGTTAGTCGAATCCTTTAAGAGTTCTTAAAGGATAAAAAGACGCAGCTCAAGTTAAGTAGCTGTAGTTTTGCCACTACTCATCAGATCAACATATTGCCTCTAGGATGTCTCAGCTAACACCCTAGCAGCTTCCAACTGTTGTAAAGCCATGATATTCTGTTGGACTAAAGCGGCATTCTGTTGTTGCATTGCAGTTATAACTGACTCCATCATCCTCATAAGATCTGGTGCATTAGGATTTATGAGTGGGGGGGAGGAAGCCTGGGTGTCATCTTTTGTTCAGACAAAAGAAAAGTCATCAGTCCAACTCAAGGAAACAAGGATACTAACTAGACATAACTATGAGTACATAACTATGAGTACACAACACAATCATAGTACACTCATAACCTACAAGATTCCTAAGGAAATAACTGCTATGATGCCAAAAATGTAACATCCCAAAATATAGCATTAAACTATATAACAGTCATCACAGATTTAATATAATAGATCAATTATAGATAGGAATATAAATTGATATCTACAGTCATCCAAAAACAACCATAAATTTAAACTTTATATACAATATAGTTGTGTCAAAACTATATACAATTTATCTATGCATCAGGGGCATCTCCATCCAGAACCTACTCCCCATTCACCTCCTCACCCCCTGCTCACATCCATCAGATGATCATCGCCAAGATTTAAGCACAAGCACATACAAACAGTACACAAACAGAATAGTAAGCTAGATACAAAATAAGTCCGTATAAAACGAGTTTTTATCTCTACCATCTTTTTACTGTGTTTCCAAACACTTTTAAAAATTCTCAAGTATTCAATACTGTCTGCAAACCATCTAATCGCTACAAATAGGGTCTAACACTTTTTCTAAAAAGTTTTCAAACTCTATTCAAGCCTCACCCTTTCTAGAGTTTGCTTATTATTTCATCAAACACACTTGTACAAAGTAGACAATTAACCTCTAGTGAGATCAAATAAATTCAAAATAGTTAAATCAAATGCACAAACAATATATTTACAATCAATTAGTAAACTAGGATAATAATGTTTTCAAAGAAAAAGGAACTGTCAATGGAGATTTATTTCATATTTAAATTTGGACATGTGGATTAAAAATAATATACTCTTCCTAATCTTTTCCCAAAAAGTACACAAATTTCAAACATATAAATTAATGTCGACTTAGCTAATATTCATTTTAATAAATATTAAAAATATATTATATTAATGTCACTCTAATAGATGTTAATTTAAATAAATAATAAGATAAATAAAATTAATATGAGTTTAATCGACAAAGTAAACTAAATATAATAGTAAAAATAAATAAAATTAGCGTGAAACACGGTAGTGTTAACTTTAATTATTTTTAATATTTAGAGATCTGTGATAATAATTTGACTCGAGAAACAACAATAAAAGTATCAAAGTATGAAGTGAAAATAATTCTTTCAAATTTGAAAAAATTGATCAGAAACAACAATAACAATAAACAGGAGCAATAATCACAAAAGGAGACATTAATATTTTTATCATGGAAAAATTGTCCCAAACACAAGTGTACAAGCGAAACAATTACACTCAGATCAAATATAGATACAAAATAGTTAAATAAAATGCGTAAACAAGTATTTACAACCAATCAATAACTAAAGAGATAATGTTTTCAAAGAAAAAATAATATGAATGAGTATTTTTCTCATCTTTAAATTTGGATACGTGGATTAAAAATAGGGTTAAATATGTTTTTAGTCCCTGAACTATCAGGCGATTTTGTTTTTAGTCCCTGCTCAGAACTTTGATGGTTTTTAGTCCTTATAGTTTTGAAACTCTGAGTATTAGTCCTCAAAAATGGACGGTGTTAAGTTTTTGTGGATGTGGCAAACGGAGATGCCACGTGATCACTGATCTCTCTGCTTCACTCTCTGTCACGTGGGATGTTTAACTGTGTTGAACCGAGATTAAGTCAATACGCTCTAATCATCCTTTCAGGATCTGCTTCACTCTCATCCACCACCCAATGCTACTCCGTTCGCGGGTCCAGGCCCAAACCTAGGCCCATCCAATCCGTTCAAGCAGCCGACAACTCCGTCAATGTAGTAACCGACGGCAAACAGCAGCAACCGAGGCACGAGGCCAAGTGGGCCGTGGACAGCTGGAAGTCCAAAAAGGCTCTCCAGCTCCCGGAATACCCGAACCAAGAGAACCTCTGGGCGGTGCTCAAGAGCCTGGAAGCGTTCCCTCCCATCGTCTTCGCCGGAGAGGCTCGCAACCTTGAGGAGCGCCTCGCCGTCGCCGTCGCGGGGAACGCGTTCCTACTACAGGGTGGTTCGTGGAGAAGTTTCCTGGCTAAAAGAGAAATGTGGGGATAGGGGTTTAGTGGTGCCTTGGTGTGACCAATTGAAGGTTTTGTCACATCCTTCTGTAGGTGGATTTTGGACCCATTGTGGGTGGAATTCCACTCTGGAAGCTGTTTTTGCTGGTATTCCAATGCTGACATTCCCTCTTTTCGTGAACCAAGTTCCAAACAGTAGACAAATTTTGGAAGTGTGGAAGAATGGGTGGGAGTTGAAAAGATCAGTGCTGGGCAGTGAAGAATTGATATCAGAAAAAGAAATATTGGAAGTGATTGGAGAGTTTATGGATGTTGATGTTCGGTGGCCAGATGCCCGTTATTAAGGTACCATCACACCACCTCCACTCTCTCGTTTGTTTCTCAAGACGCTTCAAATAAAATACAAAATGATGATATATAATAATGGGGTTGTCTTGGAATGTTCGTGTTAGGTGGGACGTATGGCGGGTCAGTTCGCGAAACCGAGATCGGAGCAGTTGGAGGAGAAGAACGGAGTGAAACTCCCCAGTTACAGAGGCGATAACGTGAATGGAGATGCGTTCGAAGAGAAAGCCAGAATTCCAGATCCTGAAAGGATGATTAGAGCGTATTGACTTAATCTCGGTTCAACAGTTAAACATCCCACGTGGCAGAGAGTGAAGCAGAGAGATCAGTGATCACTTGGCATCTCCGTTTGCCACATCCACAAAAACTTAACACCGTCCATTTTTGAGGACTAATACTCAGAGTTTCAAAACTATAAGGACTAAAAACCATCAAAGTTCTGAGCAGGGACTAAAAACAAAATCGCCTGATAGTTCAGGGACTAAAAACATATTTAACCCTTAAAAATAATATACTTTTCCTAATTGTTGTCCCAAAAGACATACAAATTTAAAGCATATAAATTAGCTTCAACTTAGCTGACATTTATTTTAATAAATACTAAAAATATATTATATTAGTCTCAGTAGATGTTAATTTAAATAAATAATAAGAGAAATAAATTTAATGTGAGTTTAATTGAAATTACTAAAATACATATAATGCTAAAAATAAATAAAATTAACTTCAATTAGGCTAAGATTATTATTATTTATTTTTAATATTTAGAAGTTTGATGAGAAAAACAACAATCAAAAGTATCAAAGTATGAAATGTGTTAAGAAGTGAATTTTATAAGCCTAACTCATCTCCACAACATCGACTTGTAAGGTGAGATTTGCATCCACTTATATACCCTAAATTGATCTTATTTCTCGTCGATGTGAGACTTCCAACAAAGTGAAAATAATTCTTTCAAACTTACCAAATTTTATAAGAAACGACAATAACTATAAATAAGAGCAATAATCACAAAAAGAAGACAATCAAAGACATTAATATTTTTAACAAAGAAACATTATACCAAACACACGTGTACAAATCGGACAATCAAAGACATTAATATTTTTAACAAGAAAACATTATACCAAACACACATGTACAAATCGGACAATCAAACTATATTGAGATCGAATACAAATAAAAAATAGTTAATTCAAATGTGTAAACAATAATTTACAACCAATCAATAAACTAATTAAGGCAATAATGTTTTCAAAGAAAATAAATTATGAATGGAAACTTTTTTCATCTTTAAATTTGGACATGTGGATTAAAAATAATATACTATTCCTAATTGTTGTAAAAAAACACAAATTTAAAGCATATAAATTATTGTTAAATAAATATTAAAAATATATTATATTAGTGTTAGTCTTATGGATGTTAATTTAAATAAATAATAAGATAAATAAAATTAATGTAAGTTTAAACCAAAACACTAAAATAAATATAATACTAAAAAGAAATAAATTAGCATTAATTAGGTTAATGGTATTGTTAAAACGGGTCATTCGGGTCAACCACCCACTACGAGTTAACTACTTAGTGAATTAACCCGACTCACTTATTATGAAGCCGAAAAAATTTGAACTTGACTCAACCCACCACAGGTTTGTGGGTTAAAAAGGTTGACTCACTTAATTACACAATTTTGTTCAATTAAAAAACAACAAAAACTTTCTAGTTCAAATCTAAATAAAGGATAATGGTCTTAAACTATATTTATCATTAGTCAAATATAAGATTTCATTCACACAAAGATATCACAAAATGTTCTTAACAAAATTTTTAGTAGTTTCATAGCGGTTTAATTTTTTTTTTGCATTAAAATTGAGTTACTGAGTATAAATTTGTGGATTTTTCATGCTGCCTAATTATTTCATACAAAAATAATTTTATGGGAGTCTTTGTTTCATTAGTTTGTAAAATGACTAACCCAAATGAGTTGGTGAGTCAACCCGACTCATCATGAAATCATCCCTGATGAGTCGGGTTCTTAATGAGTCAGGTTCAAAATTGACCCATATCGAAATTTCAAAATTTTTTCAATCCAACCCGGCTCAAACCCGTAATGGGTCGGGTTCGCCCACAAGTTCCACCCCGTTTTGACAACATTAATATTAACATTACATTTTTTTTAATATCTATAAATCATGATAATAGTGTGACAAGTGAAACAACAATAAAAAAAAATATCAAAGTATGTAGTGAAAATAATTATTTGGAACTGCAAAAATTTACGAAAAACGACAATAACAATAAATACAACAATAAATAGGAACATTAATCACAATATAACACATTAATATTTTTAACATGAAAAACTTTTGTCAAAAACAAACATGTGAATAGCAAACAAACAAACTTTATTTAGATCAAATACAAATACAAAATAATTAAATAAAATGCATAAATAAATATTTACAATCAATCAATAAACCAAAATAATTAAGTTTTCGAATTTAAAAAGAAAAGAATGATAAATTTTATATTAGTTTAGCTTGTGTCTCTTTGATTTTAATTTCCCTCCTTAATCTTCCTCAGAAAAACCAATTATGGTTGTATACTTTAAAATATTTCATTACATTTAATTGTGTAAACTAAACTTGCAAAAACAACCCAAATAATGTTTTAGGAACTGATTTTCTAAATGAAATGTTAATCTATAAGCATATTTTAGAATAAAACGTCACTAAATTGAGTTTACTTTCCAAACAAAATTTAGAGTATTATTAAAAACTTAGCATAATCTTAATATTATTTTTTAGCGGAAGAGAATGCACGGTAAAGAATTATTTTCATAACTTATCTTCAATATAATTTAAGAAAATGGGTTTTTATCAAATCAAACTATGTTAAATATGAATAAATATAAATATAATTTATTTAAGAATAAAAAATAAACATTTAGAATTAGATTTTACTGTTTGTGGTAACATTGTTTGGATTGAATAAATATCTCTTTTAGAAGATATAACATATAGAAAATTATGACGAAAAATTAATTTATTTAATGGATATAAAATGACAAGAGAATGTGTTATGATAAGATAAAAACGTGAGAAGGTAAAAATTACCCCGTGCTATTTTAGTGAAAAAATCCATATTTATTGGCCAAAAATAAAATTCATTTGGCATTCTCATTCTTATTTATGTGTTTGTTTTTCAAACAATTAATAAGTTTTGGCTAGCCAAGAAATGGGTTTGATAAGCAATTACCTATCTTTCTTTCATTAAAATTTTGAAGACTCCAAACAAAGAACAAAACAAAACCAGCTCGTGTTTCTTGTGCTTTGTGTGACGAATCTCATTACCAATATCTCTTAGAACTCATGAATATTTAGAAACTTTATATATTTTAATACTAACTTCTCTTATCATCGACAACTCGTTTAAATGTCTTATTATTGATTTTAATACTTTAGAAGGTTAAATAAAGATAACTTTTTCATCTAAAACATGTTTATTCTTCTAACATCTCCATATTGGTAATAGATTTATTCAAAACTAGATATCAATCATCATGACAAAATATATTTTCTACAATCCCCATTTACTTTAAAATGAATTTACACGTAATAACACATTCATTTATAAAACTACACATGATTTCCTTACTCTTTATTTTCATTACTGTAATATTTTTTACTATAATAAATATTAACAAGAATAACATCATATATTGAAAACTGTATATTAAAAAAAGTAAAACTAAATTGAACGTGTATAAAAAGTACCCAGAAAATATGTACTAACCTAATATTAAAAGTTAAGAAATTTAATTTAATTGATTTTTGAGAAGAAGAAAGAAAAAGTTGTGACAAAAACATTTTCCCAATTAATTAACGGTCCATCCGTGCCACCCAGTACAGTGGAAAATTCAAACTTTACCAACACTCACTAAAAACTCGCGATATTTTCCGCCATCGTAGCGGTTATAGCACCATTCCCTATTTATCACGTCATAGACTCATAATAATTGCCATAACCTAAAATAAAGTATTAAATTTCCTTTCGCTTTCCCATTCTTATTTATTGCAAAAGCAATTAATAATTAATAAACATGAATTTTTGGCTGGCCAAGAAGTCGGTTTGGTCGTTTGTTTCGTTCATAATAGCTTCTGAAGAGTGTCTGTGTCTGTCTTCTCTGTGTTGTAGTGAGAGAAAAATAAAATAAAGAGAGAGAAACATCATAGAAGAGGAAGAGGAAGAGGAAGAGAATAGGAAGAACTTCTCTTTCTTTCACTGAGATCTGAACCAACAAAACAAAAACAAAACCAGAGTTTGGTGTTTGTTCTCTGTGATGAAGCTCGTTACCGATTCTGCCCATGATATTTGTGTCTGAACTTTAACGTTGTCTTTGAAGAGATTGTTCTTTTGTTTCTGCGTTTCGATGAAGGAGGGTGAGAAGGTATTGGATCCGCAGCTATGGCACGCGTGTGCTGGTGGCATGGTTCAGATGCCCAAGGTGAACTCCAAAGTCTTCTACTTCCCACAGGGTCATGCAGAGCACGCCCACACCAACATTGATCTCAGGGTTCCGCCACACATTCTCTGCAACGTCGAGGCGGTGAAGTTCATGGCGGACCCAGAAACCGACGAGGTTTTTGCCAAACTGAGTCTGGTCCCTCTCAGAAACTCGGAACCCGGTACCGACGCGGAGGGGGGTGCTGACGTGGCGGAGGCTTCGGAGAAGCCCGCGTCTTTTGCGAAGACTCTGACGCAGTCGGACGCCAACAATGGTGGCGGGTTTTCGGTGCCACGGTACTGCGCGGAGACGATTTTTCCGCGGCTGGACTACTCGGCGGAGCCGCCGGTGCAGACGGTGGTGGCAAAGGACGTGCAGGGGGAGACGTGGAGGTTCCGGCACATATACCGAGGGACACCACGTCGGCACTTGCTGACGACTGGGTGGAGCAGTTTCGTGAACCAGAAGAAACTGGTGGCTGGGGATTCTGTGGTGTTTCTGAGGTCTGAAAATGGAGAGTTGTGTGTTGGGATTCGGAGGGCAAAGAAGGGAATCGGGTTTGAGGTGTGGAACTCTGCTTCTGGTTCAGGGTCTGGAAGTATCGGTGGAAGTGGGAATTGTGGGATTGGTCCTTATGGGCCTTTCTCTTTTTTCCTGAGAGAGGAGAACAAGAGCTTAAGGAATGGTGGCGGCGGCGGTGGTGGTGGGAATTTGAGTGGCAGGGCCAAAGTGAGGCCTGAGGCTGTTGTTGAAGTAGTGACCCTGGCTGCTGCTAACAAACCTTTTGAGGTTGTTTATTATCCAAGAGCCAGTACTCCTGAGTTTTGCATTAAGGCTTCTTCTGTAAGGGCTGCTATGAGGATTCAGTGGTGTTCTGGGATGAGGTTCAAGATGGCCTTTGAGACTGAGGATGCTTCCAGAATAAGCTGGTTCATGGGAACCATTGCTTCTGTTCAGGTTCTTGACCCCATTCGCTGGCCTAATTCCCCATGGAGGCTTCTTCAGGTACTCTCTCCTTCTATATGCATGCTAAACATCACTTTAGATCGCTCTTCACCTCCTTGCTTTTTCGAGGAACTCATTCTGGATCCAGACTCCATTTCATTTTGCTTTTCTTCAGCAATCTTATGTTCTGTTTTTGGGATAAAGCCATCCAAACATCAATTTTGTCTACTTAAAGTTAATTTTAACACAAATCAATTTCGTATGAAAACAATTTTTTATGTTCTCATGTTTGTTATTGATTGGAGAAATTAGATTTTTTTTTTTTTGCGTACTTTGCAATCTCCATTGCAGTGATATCGTGGATGTGTTGATTTTGGTTGAAGATTATATTGTGCAAAGTTGATTGATGATGTTGCCATTGTTATCCCTGCAGGTAACTTGGGATGAGCCAGATTTACTGCAAAATGTGAAGCGTGTTAGCCCGTGGTTGGTTGAACTGGTGTCAAACTTGCCAGTGATAAATTTCACACCTTTCTCTCCACCAAGAAAGAAGCTGCGGTTTCCGCAGCACCCGGAGTTCCCCCTTGATGTTCAATTTCCAATACCACCGTTTTCAGGCAACCAGCTCGGGCCTAACCACCCCTTGTGTGGTTTTTCAGATAACGCTCCTGCAGGCATACAGGGAGCCAGGCATGCTCAAATTGGAACATCACTATCAGATCTCCACCTTAACAGTAAACTGCAGTTGGGGTTGCTTCCATCTAATATCCAGCAACATGGACTGTATAGTGGGATTTCAAGTGGTAACACGACCAACCATGATAAGAGCAAAGAAAGCTTATCACACTTGCTGACCATTGGGAAATCTAGCAAGACTTTGGAGAAATCTGATGATGTTAAGAAACATCAGTTTTTGCTTTTTGGTCAACCAATACTCACCGAGCAACAGATTTCTGGAGACGTGTTGTCCCGTGGGAAAAAATCACCGGATGATGTCAAAGACAAAGAGAAGTGCTTTCTGGATGACTCCCAATCTGCACTCTTTTCATCAGGGAAAGCTTCTGCTGCCGAGTTCTCTTGGCAACTTGGCTTGGACACTGGTCATTGTAAAGTTTTCTTGGAGTCAGAAGATGTTGGAAGGACCTTAGACCTATCACGGCTTGGTTCTTATGAAGAACTCTATAGAAGGCTTTCCTACATGTTTGGAGTTGAAAGATCTGAGATTCCAAATTACGTGTTCTACTATGATGCAAAAGGTGCTGTTAAGCAAACTGGAGAAGAACCTTTCAGGTATCATTTTTGTTTTCGTTTTATTTTCATCTTGGCCTCTATTGATTCATTTTATATATAAGTTACCCAAATCTGGTAGCTCTTCCATGACTTGTAACCTTCGGATACACGTTTTTATCTTAGGCATATATTTATTTGGGTTGTCTCTTGTGATCTTATTGCAGTGACTTCATGAAAACAGCGAAAAGGTTGACAATTCTGACGGATTCAGGCAGCAAAAATGTTACAAGGTAAGAAAGAGAAGGAGCTTGGTCTTGTTACACATTTATCTTCATATTTGTGGATAGCTACATGTTGATATTCCTTCTCGGACAAAGGAAAGCAAGAATCATGACGCTTATGCATAGAATCATTCACAATTTTTGCATAGAATCATCACATTATAGTTCTACCAAAAGTTTTTATGTATGTATGTCTAATCTTAGTTCCAAACGTATTGTGCAGGGCCTTTATTACAGGAACTCGGAATGGTGAACATGGACTGGATGCATCAAATAAAACAGGCCCTCTGAGCATATTTGCTTAAAAAATGCATCTGAGACATTGTTGAGATCTGGGTAGTGGTGGTGGTGTGTGGAGGACAGTTATATCTCTGTTCACCTCTGCAAAAGACTGAACATGTACTGAATCTTTTATCGAGGTTACTAATGTTAATGTGTACCTAAAAACAAATATTTTGTAAGGTTGGCATTGCTGTTTTTTTTTAAGTGTACAAATAATGATGGTGTTATGATGGTCAACTATTATTGTAATAATCAAAACCAAGATTTGGACCCCATTTGGCAAGTTGCTTTTTTTTTCCATTGTGGTCTCACATGCTGGTTTCTACGTGTCTCCACGTCAGCAGTTGTGCATAAATTGAAGAAAAGTAATAATGGGGTGTTTGATGAGTGGAGATGTATGTTAACGCGTCATCGATTGTTGATAATGTCTGCCAATATTTATTGATCTGAGGGCAATGTTTCAGTCATTAGAATTTAACCACGATTCATCATGACTCGTCTTCTATCACTCTTTTTCCTCCCACCGTGAACCAACTACTTCTTACTAGATACCATGCATGTATACCTCTACATTTTTTCAGTCATTCCTATCTAGAAATCACAAGCAAAACTGATCATTAATTCACTTTATTTTAAGAAAAATTATTTCTTTCTCTCAACTTTATTGAATTATGTCTTAGAGGTAAATATATATCTAAACATGCACTTCACATTTATCTGAGAAAAAAGTACATGAAAATTGAATTTGTGCACTGCAAATTATAAAATCCATTATTGCTTTCTTGTATATTATAACTTTTAGTAAAATATTCTTATAATGCGTTGCTTAAATCTAAATGTCTAATATTTCATAAATGAGAGTTTTAATTAAGTTTATAAGTAGACAACTTTCTATTATAATCTCATGTGTCTTGATACTTAATGAATTATAAGGTTAATTTATTTGCCTAAATTAGTATAGACATGGTCAGTTGTACATGAAATTTTCTAAAACAAAATCATGGTGTTGAAATTTTTTCAAAACTAGAATAGGCGTGTTTACTAAATTTCGCATTCAATCAAATTTATATATAATAATGTAAATTATCTTATAATATAATATAAATTCATAAAATTAATGTTACGTCGATTAGTTTTGCATTGTTTAGAAGTTTTGAGTAATAAAAAAAATTTAGATACACATTTTTCTTTTAATATTTTGAAATATTTTAAGAACAAAAATGTGAAGAAGCTCTAAACTTCAAAGCAAACTATATTTGGGATATAGTGATTATTTAGTTTAAGATTTGATTCTATGAATTTAATTTTTTATTTGGGTTTATGAAATTAAAGTTATTTAAAAAAAAATTAAAACCTGTATTTTGGAATAGTCCATTTAAATGTATTGTTCAAAAAAAATAAAGTTTATTTGCGTTAATTAATGTTTTAGTATGTAACTTTATTTGAATTGTAATTTAAAATTATTATTTATTTGAGTTTATGTTGTAAAAACTTGTTTCAAAAAATTTTATTTAAATTTTATAAAACAAAAATAAAACACATTTATGAATATCTAATAAAATTCACAAATATTTTTTTGGAAGCGACACGAATTGACATCCTTAAAAAAAGACATAATAATTAATAATCATGCTAATAAATTGACATATAGATTTATTTAAATCTCATCCTTCATCATCACTCATTCTCGTTATAATATTATAATAGTTTATCTCTTTATATTGAATTTATTATATTTTAATAACTTTATTTTTTTATATTTGATTTTGTATTATAATATATTATTTTATTTCATATTTCAATATCTTGAAATATATCTGTTTATATTATATGTGTAATATTTTTTTATCAATAATATAAACATTCATAACATTTGTTAATAAAATACGATAACTTATCCCAAAATTCGAAAATCTTTTTATCTGCAATTTTTTTTGTCAAATTCGGTAAAATTGCAACTTATCACCACCATTATTTACAAGCCATTATTCTCACAAGGTTTCATTTACTTACCACAACTCAAAATTAATTATTGACATATAAGGCAAATGATAGAAAACGAGTACATAATTTTCCAACTTTAACTTTCTTTCATTCTTTTTGTGTACAGCTTCCATTTTTAGTATTACAACATTGTCGTGTCTTTAAAATAATATTGATGAATGCTGGTTTTAATATTTTTAAATATATTTAAAAAATATATATCAACATCAATATATTTTAAAGATTCAGTCATCGATGGATGGTATTAAAAAAATCAATAGAAAGAATAAACTTGTTTTTCTTTTTATTATATTCTAAGTGTTAGGAATTGAAGCCAAGTTGATAGAAAGTTAGACACATTGAGTAAAAATAAGTGAAATGATCCAAAAAATCTATTATGTTATGAGATAAAAAAAAATAAGTAAAAATATTCTTAATATCTGGTTGAATAAATAAAGATGATAGAGCTAACAATAGTTATAGTTTAGAAAATGTGTAACGTTAGAGATGATGTAGTATAATGGTAGATAAGGAAAATACCATTATTCGATCTTAAAATCCGGAAAACATGATATTGGTTTAGAAGTGATTGTTTGAAATGAGAAACCAAAGGCATAGGGTTTGTGAATTGAAGCGTTCCAACATCTGTGACGTCACCCATTGCACACTAAGGAGAGACAGCTTCCTCCTAATCTCAACCAAAACTACCTTAATAAGGGTGTTTTGCAGAGTCCTAAGACATAATCACACGTGGGAGTGGGACCCACATACCGGGATTATGAATTTCATTTGACTCATGCACGTGAACTCCCAACATACAACACTGCCTTCCCTCCTACGTCGCTTTTTGATCTCGGGATCGTTGATTTAAGAGTTGTTTTTGCAGAAATTAATGAGGTTTTGATGGGTGAAAGTGTGGAAGTCAAATGGTCAAAAGGGGAGGCTTTGGAAGAAGGTGTAAAAATGAGAAGGTTATTGGAATCACAGATTGCAGAGGCAAAAGAGAACATCTTCCAAGGATATCAATGAATTGGTTTTTTCCTTTTCAGTTTCCATGGCGTAGTTTGTGGGCTTTGTTTTCTTTCTCTGCATTGGGATTGGAGAGCATCTTCGTTCTTCATTATTATCTCTCTCTCTCTCTTAATCGAATGATCAAACAACACTACTGTGTTTTTCTGTTCTTCTTCTCACGTTTTTTTGCATATTACTTCCGCTTTATCTCTTTCCTTTCATAATCATTTTTTAATATACACATATATCCAAAAATCTCTTCACTCCTAAGATATTGTCCGTTTAAGACTAAACACTCACGAATTTATTTGACTCTCTAATGGATTTGCTTTTGGCTCTCTATCATTTCATTAACACTCTAAGGCGTAAATATAACTTTATAAACTCATTTACATAATTGGATAGTTTTAAAGTCTATTTTTTAACACAATATTGAAATAGAGTGTGAAAATATATGTTAACAAAGTTTGTTAATTGTTCGATATATTGTTTTACTTATTATCGAATTATCCATTAACATTTAATTTCACAAGTATATGTTTTAACATGAAAGGATTTTAAAATTTTTACTTTCCTAATTGATAAGAATATAAAGAAATATTTCATAACAATACAATTTTATTACCGTGTGACAATGACATATTATTTGTTTGATAAGAAGTTTGAAATAGTTCTACTTAACAATATAAATCATTTCAAAAATAAATATATTCATTATTTGGATTGACCTTAGTTCGATTAAAAAATATGGTTAAAAAAACTATATGTGAAGCAGTATTGATATTGACTCTCATAGTTTGATGACTTCAACTCTACCATTAACAACAACTTATGAATGTTTTTTTAGATTACATCCATTATCTCAAATTTTAGATCAAATTAATCCATTAACCAAAATAATTAATGAAAGAATTTTGAGTTTTGGACTCTAGAAGATTGACGAGGCAAACTCCCAGTTTTTGAATACAAAATATCCACCCTAATCATTCCATGACATATTTATGCAATTAACATATATGAAAGAATCAATATTGAACTTATTGGATCTCTCACCATTCATGCAAGAATTGGTATTTAGAATGCAAACTTATCTTACAAATTGATTTTGACATTGAAATAAACTTAAAATTATTAAGTTTTAAGTTTATAAAAAATTTAATATTTTTCAATTGAATTTTTGTTGTATAATGTTTTTTTTGTCTTCGTCTTACTTATTTCTCATGTGTTAATAAATATAAATTTTTGTAATTAACAATGATAATTAATACAAAATGATAAGACATTTGTATTGGTTTTGTTAAAAATATGTTGGATAAAACTAATGTTCCAATAAATGGTAATAATGGAACACTCCTTAATTAGGTGATGAGTTGTATCCCATCGAAAAAGCAAAATAACTTGTTTTCAATATATTTTTAATTAAAACAATAAAAATAATTTGTCATTATGAATTTATATTAATCATAAAATCTTACCTTCGTTAACACAAAAATATATAAATGAGATGATTGAAATATGATAATAGTTACACCGCACAAAAAAATAATAGGAACTTAATTAAAAATAACCAAATTTGCAATGAATTTAATTTAAACTCAATAATAATAATAATAATAATAATAATAATAATAATAATAATAATAATAATAATAATAATAAGTATAAGTATAACTAATAATCAATAATAATAATAATAATAATAAGTATAACTAATAATCAATAACAGTGCTGAAAGTACTTGGTATATGATGTATTAGCATGCGATGGGTAGGTTTGGAACGGATTCAGTTATAAATTATTTATAACTCGAGTATGTAATAAGATAAGTTCATGTTAGAGTTGGTTCTAAGTTTTTTTTATGGAAATACAAAATATATTTAAATAAAGCGTGTTAAAAAAAATTTAAATGAATTTTGAAATTAATTTAACATACTTATCGGAAAAGAAAATAAAAGCTTTGTTTATGGAATTTTGTGCATTAAAAAGTTATATTTTCTCTATTTCAGCTCTATTTTTCTTCCACCAACGCATTTTTATCTCCTTTTTCTTCATTGAACGTGCTAGCTAGTCAATAAAATATAATACTTGAACTTTAAATTTTAAATAAAAATTTAATTTAATTTTTTATGTCCAATTAATTCTATAATGTCTGAACTTAACCCGTACAAGTTCGTAATAAATTGACACATTCAAATTAACGGACTAAAATACCGTCAAGTATACTATTCGTTTTATATTTTAGTTAAAAAATATATATAAGAAAAATATATCGTTTAAGTTGTATTTAAATCTCAACATTCGAAGTTTTCTTTTAGAAATTAAAGTAAAATTATATATCATAATTAAAACTAGAATAAGTAAATTAACAGCAGTTTTAACACATCCATGTGTTAGCTTT